TTGGAAATCAATGGAAAAGCTTTCCATTGACCTCCATGGGAGCAGGATCATGTCCCCGAAGAGTCAGCATTGTAGTACTCCTATAGGGCAGCCCTGTTAAGTATGTTAGCATTCACTACACAAGAAAAAACATGTTCATGGGCATTTTTCTTTTATGGATTATGCTGCAAAGTATGGAACGGTGTGTGGCTGTTTTGTAGCTTTACAAGTCAAGTCTGTATCAAATCAACTGTGCAAAATTACAGAGAGGAATGAAATGCTATTTGGGTCACTTAAGTAATTGCCTACAACATAGAGCAGTTGAATAAAAAACAGTACAGTAATTCGTTGTTATTGTTTTTATGAAGGTCCAATCATGCTTTATGTTTCCAACCCAGGCAAAACGTAATTAATTTTCATCAATTTAAGCCCCACCTAATTCCAGTACACATCTTCACTATTTGCATGTCAAACAAATACAATTTAGCAACCTCAATATTAAAAATATTCCTAAACAGATCATGCTCCCAGCCACTGAAGTTGAACCACATTCTTTTATTTTTATAAATTGTACTTCAATAACAGGGAAATATAAAGCCAGTCTGAGATATCAAACCAGTCTGACAAAATACTTTGGGAGAAAAGTACCTGCATTAATAAAAGAAACACTGCAAGTGACATGGTCTCAAAGCATTAAACCAGTGGCTGACAACCCTTAACAAGCTGTAGGCTAGAAAAATCAAGCTATGGTTCAATGCAAGCTAAGAGGTTTCAGCGGTATATCAGGCTTTGCCACTGCCTACACTGGGGCCAGTTCAGCTGGGAGCTTAGCCCGTGCCACTGCTGTTTCCCTCCAGCCCCCTGCTCCCCAGGTATGAAGCAGGTGCAGTTCCAGATGGTGGGGAGCTGCGCTGGGGCTGTACAGGTGGAAACTGCATCCAGGCTGCTACTGCTTCTCCACACTGCAGCTCCCAGCTATAGTGCAGCTCCCCATCTGCTAAAAGATGCACCTATGCCACAGCCAGAAAGCAGGGGGCTATGGGACACAGCAAGGATATGGGACGCAGCTTCCAGCTGCCCAGTCCCAGATCTGGCCCGCAGGCCATATGTTGCCAACCCCCACGTTAAACTTCATCTTTCAAATCAACACAATGTGCATCCAATTTATGGCAAATATTTCAAGTTCAATGTTGCATCATTTATCAAGAAATGTTAACAGAATTATTTTCTTTTTGACTGAGGAATGAATGAAAAGTAATGTGGCACTTCCCAAAAACAAAAGTAAAAGTTTCTGGGCTGCAATAGGCAGTGTCAGCAGTCAGCATGACAGACAAGTTACGTTTTGCAATCTGCAGGCCAACATTAAGCCTGGAGGACACTATGAGCAAACATTCACACACAAGAGCAAACACAAGACTCCTTGGCTTGCTCCTAGCCTATAAATGGACACATTACTTCATGTCCATGGTGCCATTATCTTCAGCTGTCAATTAACTGTAAAGGCTTACTGAATACCTGCAAGACACCAAGACTAGACCCTATTTTACCTCTAAAATGTCCAAGTGGCACTTACACAGCTTTTAGGTACCTAAATGATCAAACACGATCATATTCTACCCTGTGCAACACCCAGAATACTACTAAGAGCCAATGATGCTTTATACATCTCCATTTTGGCCTAATATAACTAGACTTGCCTTACTGTGTATATATAGAAGTGATCCAATACAGTCACTTAAGTGTCTCACACCACTTCTGCTCTGTTGCAATCCCATTCCAGCTGTAAGAAGGTTTATCTTCCACTCAATGACCTACTGATTTAGGCCCTTGCCCCAGAAGTGGGAGACAGGTTCTACACCCATTTCAATCGGGCAGGTTTGACCCACATTTTCCACTCCCTGGGACTGTTCTCTAACCACTAAGGGAGTGGGAAACGAGCCGTATTTGATTCAGATTCGGCCCAAATCAGGGTCAGTGATTCGATTAGTTGATTCCGATCATTGTCCTGATTTGATTTGGCTGAATCCGAATCTGAAGATTCAATGGTGATTCACAGAATCAGCGATTCGGCCATAGACACAGCTTTAAATATTTTTTCTACGTACCTTAAGGCGCCAGGCATGGCTCATGAACGCTGAAATGGTGGGGCGGATGCAGTGTCCCACAGGAGTGCAGGGAGGCCCTCTGCCTGCTTGGCAGCGAACCCAGAAGTGGACTGGAAGTACTTCCAGGTCCACCACTGAGTGTGTGGGACCTCCCCACCCAATCTCCGCCAAACTGAATCAGTGACCAAAGCTTCGCACAGCCCTACTAACCACTAGCGTATTGGTTAAGTAAGGCACGCAATGGGGAGTCTGGCTCTGTGGCAGGAACTATCTTGGGAGAAAAGGAGGTCTAAGTTTTGGCCCCATCTCCCAATCTCACTTGTTTTGCATTACATGGCCATTGGATAAAATGGATAAGCAACATTGGGAGCAGAGAGAAGGCTTCTTTGCTTGGTTGTCCAGCTGCCTGAACCTCTTTCTCAATGAGCTGGAGGGAATAATATGCTCCTCTCAGGAGTGACATGGATCCTAATATGATGGAGTTGGCTATAACCAAGGCAAATCTCCCACTGAGAGACTAGAATGGGGGAATAGGATCTGCCTCTGAAGGTCCACAATGCTAGTCACTGAAAGAATGGAAGAGCACTGCAATTCTGCAGGCCAGACTAGGATGCCTCCTGAGGAGTACTTGATAAGAGTCTGCTAGGGTACTGGAGGCAGGGAGGCTCAGGGGCTCTAGCTACATGGAGCCGAGTGGGGATAGGACACTACTGTGAGAGAGGTGTAACCACCAAGAGCAAGGTTATTTCTACAATGGCCATGCAATTGCTATATGATGAGCAAGGAATCAAAGCCTTAAATTTGTCAGTAGCTGCAGAGTCAGGGAAGGGTTAACCTGGCTCTTGGCAATGGCACCTGACACTTCACAAAAGTTTAGGGCTGGAAGGGACCTCGTGAGATCCTTGGGTCCAGTCCCCCTGCTCTGGGCAGGAAAGACTGCTGGGTCAAATAACCGTAGCAAGGTGTGTGTTCAGTTTGCTTTTGAAGATCTTCAGGGCAGATGCCTGCAACAGTTTAGGGCTGGAAGGAACCTCATGAGATCAAGTCTATTCCAGAGTCTGGTCACATGAATTCTGAAGAAGTTTTTCCTTCTATCCAGTCTGAAACCTTCTTCTAGGAGCTTAAGACCGTTGCTCCTGGTTTTCCCCTAGGGCACATTGGTGAATAGTTGTTTGCCTAGCTCCTGATACTCTCCCCTGATATATTTGTAAGCTCTCCCCTGATATATTTGTAAGCTGCCACCAAATCCAGTCTTCTCTTTTTAGGCTGAACAGGCCCTTATCTGTCTTCCTTTTGCAGCAGTGACCTGATCCCTCTCAGTTCCATGCCGCCAGAGACTCTAACTCCCCCCACTCTCCATCTAACATCTCCCTTTACTGAGCACGTGGGACTTGAGTGCCACCCACAGCACCTGTCTGTGCCACAGATGCTCTGGAAGAATATCCAGAGCATGATGCTTGGCCACCCCTGCTCTGGAAGAACAGAGAAGATCATGACTTGAAAGATAGAAACTGAAAGGAAGGTGGAAGACTGCATGTTCTCTGCAATCCATTGGAATCATTGGTCTCTAGCAAATGTTGCATTTACAATGCGATTACTACCATTCATGCCACATGTTCAGCCAATTTATGGAGCTACAAAGTGGCAAATCAGTCACAAAGATATTCCACACTTAACATGGCATATTTCTGTGGTTCATTTATATTGTGGCTTAAATACAATGAGTTGCATTTGTCCCAGACCCCAAAGCTGCCCTGTACCTCTAGGGGCATGGGGTTGGACACAATGATCCTCTGTGGTCCCTTCTGACTCTATAATCTATGAATCCACGAACCTCATCCTGATGGTCAGCTGAGTGTCTGGATGGGGCACAGGGCAGAACTGGGGTCTGGAACACAGCTACCCTCCATGCCCAATCCCCAGGATATTGTTGAGGACAGCACTGGGTCTTGAAAGGGCACCCTGGGTTGTTCCATACCCCCTCCTGATACTCAACTGAACTTTGGGGTGAGGCATGGGACACACTTGAGGACCAGGACACAGCTGCCCCATGCCTAATCCCCTGGGGAATTTTATGCCCCATTCCAAACACTGCATGGGCTGCCATGCCAGATCTGAAAGGCAGGATGCGTGATGTTTGGGTTGGGACATAAAATTCCTCAGGTTCCAACAGAACCAGTATTTTAAAACCTATCAGGGGCCATAAGCCTAGAGCTGCCAAAAGTGAGTGACAAAATGATTTGCAACACACCAGCAAGTCCTTCACTGGGAGGAAGAGGAATTATTTTTATGATATAATATTGCGGGAAAGGTATACATTAATAAATGAACTACAGTACATTTCTAGATTCCAAACTATACCAAAACAGAGACAGGCGGTGTCCTCTGTTTCTATTTTCTGGATCTCCATGTGAAGCCTAATGTGGCAGAGGTATATGAAATACTTTCATTTATGATTTCCCCCCCCCAGTGAAATAAGGTGAAGACAGAACCAGAAAAGACAGGAAGGAGTAGTAAGAAAAGAATACCTGCGGCAAAATATAGTCCAGGAATTCTTTTAAATATTAGTAGAATCCAGTCTACTATGTAATATGAATAATCCCAGATAGGATAATGTCAACAAACCAAGGAGGCAGTATTGAGGTATGGAATTCTATTATCTTACATTTGTAGTGTCCTCATGTACTTCATATACATCAAGTCCTCAAACCCTTAGCCCACCCTTACTCTGATAAAAGCCAATTTTCCTTTATAGATTTTAAAATGGGAGGGGGTAGGGCAATCACTGAACAAACATCTATAGGATTTTTCATTAAGTCAGCAAAAAAGTCAGATGTCTTCCAGTGACATCTGTAGCTTTGCATATCGCTATAAGCAAACTTAAAACAGTCTGGATGACAGTGTAAACATTCTTACGCTATATACTCTTGTTCATCTTCTGCCTGGAAATGGTATGTTCTGTTGTCTGAAATACAAAGAAAAAAAAAGATCTTCCTGATGTTGAGCACATGTAACAGATTTCAAATTAATTTTAAACTACCAAAATATTTGTCACCAAAATATATTCAACAATTAAAGACAAATGTTAAAATGAGTCAGTTAATCTACAGCACACCTATTTTCTGTGCCTAAATTTTATTAAAGGAACAGAATTTGTGACATCAAGCTATTTATTTCTGTAAGCGTCAAAACTTACTAAAAAGGAAGGCAGGGGAAAGTCTAAAATGCATGAATCTAATACAGATGGTAAGAAATGACTTAAAGAGCACGATTTCCAGGGTCACGGTGTATAAAAGTGAATGACCAGAATTTACACATGGTAGGTTAAGGCAGAAACCTAAATTATAAATGATGCTCGGTATATTAATAGGTGTGCATCAGAAATGAGGTGGAGGGAGAGGTCAGGACTGATTCTGTTGGGGAGATGGAATGAACGTTGATTCACTGATGGAAAAGTGAAACTTGACAAATAAAAAAAAATGTCCCAACACTTCTGCATCTGAACACTAAGGCTACTAGATTGACTGTAACGCATTTGTGTCATCACATCCTCCAGGAAATCACATTTATTTTAAGTCCTCTACACTTGTACTTGTCAACATATGGCCCCCCCACTTATCCTGGAAAAACCTCAGCTAGTTCTGAAACTATGGCTCTCCAAACAATAGGAAACGGAAGTTTTGCACTCCAATTAGAGTCTATTTTGAACCAACAGGTACCAATCGGCTGCTGAAATACCAAAATAATTACCTAACTAAATCCAGAGAAGCATGTTCACATGTAGCTACCATTTTCACAGAACAATTACTGGTATGCACAATACATTTCATGGCTTGTAACTATACTATAATAATAACAACAATTAAGCCTTACACACATCCAGTTTTAAAGAGTCCCGAGTCATCAAAATTATAGATTGATCAAAGTATTCATAGGACTTTGTAGAAGTTTGGATTAGGAAATGAACTTTTCATGAATTAAACTCATTTCTATTTTAAATGATGTCTTGTAATGGTCATGCTTTAAACCATTCCATAAAATCCCAAGCAATGGTATATGACAATGCAAGCTACAAAAGTTCATCCACTTAAAATGTCACATACGTGATATCAGATCGAAAGACTTCTTATCTTCAGCATTTGGCTTCACTTGGCAGGTTAGTAGATTCAGTTTAGCAGGCTGCCTGTTGGACTAAAGAGACAAATTATTTTACTTATATGTCTTGATTTAGGGCCAATTTTTCCCTCAATTTTTTTTCATCCATATTCCTTTTCTGTATATATAGTTGCTTCTTCATTTTTCTATAACTTATGAGAGTCACATTTCAGTCAGCATGAATGGCATCAAACACACAGAATAAAACCTCAAGGCTTCATTCTCTGGTAATTCTAGAAACATGATTTTTTAAAGTGAAATTTATTCCTTAATTTCCAATGCTTAATTTTCCTACCACAATTCATAATTCAACATTTTAAATTGTTATTACGTGTGCTTAAGTTACACTGCATTAATGCTTTGATTTTCCTCTCATTTGCAAATGTTTAAAAATATGTCCACTTTATTATACATTTAGTTCATGCCCATATACAGTATACCACATATGTAAATATACCAGTTTCTAATACTATGAAACAAATGAGTTTTCTTCAAATGACTGGGAGGGGGAGAAGATACAGAGTCATACCAACTACAAACCCTGTCTCTGTTTTTCTAAAAAAAGTTTTGGTTACTACGTTGGATATAGCTCTTGTTGTCTAGCATTTTAGTAGTCATTGTGTACTCATAACTTGCTTTGTTAATTTTTTGTCATATTTTCACTATGGCTCTGATTAAATAAAGCACTTCAGCATGTGAGCAGTCCCGCTTACCTTAAAGTTAGTCATATGCTTAAGTACCTTCCTAAATGGGCCCATAGGAACAAAGAGCAAATACCATAAACCAGTGCTGGAAACTTTTCTGAACCCTAGCCCTCATGATCTAATACCCTGTCAAACTTTCTAAACACTTGCCATGGTAAAGGCAGTAAGTTAGAGTAAACTTTGCTTGAATGGAAAGTCACCGAAGAGGTGTGGGGTGTCCTTTACAGCCCCATACGGTGCATATATACTAATACAGCCTAGATCAGATGCCCAACCCTGTGGTCATTAACAAGTGACAACTGAAAGTGCATGCTCCGAAGAAAGATGTAAACAGAGAGATTAGCTCAGATGAAAGAACATGGCAGTGACCTCTGCAAAGCATATTACATGCTTTCAAAATATCCATAATTAACATCCTTCCAACACTCCTTAATATCAGTATAAAAAGAACTTATCCCCCCCTCCAGCCCCCCCACACTTTGGTGGGACAATTTGTTAATTTGCCTCTTTTTCATGTGCAACAGAATCTCGCCAGCACAAATATGTATCACTCATCTCTCAAAAAATAGAGATGCAGTAAATTGCCATATTAAGATTTTGCTATTTTATATTATGATATTACAAATTATCATCATCTAGTATACAATTAAAAGTGAACCATAACTATGAAAATAAGTCAGGAATATTTGGTAAGATATCGCCATCAAATTTTTAACAGGTTTATTCATCCACTAAGTCAGGTAATACAGTAACTTCATAGACATTCAGGCTGGAAGGGACCTCGGAAGATCATCTTAGTCCAGCTCCCTGCTCCAGGGGCAGGACGTCAGCAGGGATCATAAGATCCCAGCAAGATAAGCATCCAATTGACTCTTGAAGATGTTCAAAGTGGGTGCTTGAACCACCTCCCGCGGCAGTCTATTCCAAACCTTTGGGGCTCAGACAGTAAAGAAGATCTTCCTTATGTTCAGTCTGAAACGGTCATGGAGGAGTTTGTGACTGTTTGACCTTGTCATCCCTTGGGGTGCTCTGGTGAACAGACGTTCCCCCAGGTCCTGGTGAGCACCCCTGATAAACTTATGGGTGGCCACCAGATCACCCCTGAGCCTGCGCTTTTCCAGGCTAAAGAGCCCCATGGCTCTCAGCCTGTCGTCGTAAGGTCAGTTTTCCTGACCTCTGATCATGCATGTGGCTCTCCTCTGCACCCTCTCAAGCTTCTCCACATCCTTTTTGAATTGTGGAGCCCAAAACTGGACACAGTACTCCAGCTGCGGCCTCACTAAGGCTGAGTACAGCAGAATGATGACATCCTGGGATTTGCTTGAGAAGCATCTATGGATGCAAGCTCACTTTACTAGCTGCAGCATCACATTGAAGGCTCATGTTCTGTGTAGCTGTGGTGTGTAGCTTATTACAGTTTCCCATAACCACTATACATTTGAAAATGCTGTATCATATGGTACGCAAGCACGAAGTTTGCCAGTGTCCTTGACCTAGAGCACCACCCCCTGGTGGCAGCCACTAAAATATAACTGAATGAGACCTGTGCTTCTCAGAACAAATGTATTAAAAAAAATTAACAAAAGCAGCTGAATTAAACTCTCTGGTCCCCAAATAAAGTATTTACCATAGTTTATATGCAGTCATATCTAAACTTTCGCAGAATTTAACATGTGTGCAAGACTGAAGTAAAGCAAAGCACAGCATACAGGATGCCAATAAAAGTAGCTGCTCATCACATATAAGGCATGGTGAAGCTAAAGCAAAGAGCACAATCTGGTATTGCTTCCCATACTTCACAAGTTAACTATTCTCCATAGATTTCTTGTGTATGAATGTCTTGTGGAAGAAGGTCTACACTACCTCCAGGTCTAGCCTGGAGTACTACTGAGAAGCATGTTTCACCTACTCCTTTACACTGAGCGCTGGACCATACCCCAGAAATTATTCCATGTAGCTGGTTTAGTACAGCCCAGAGTCACACTCAGGCTCTCTTTCTTGACTATGATTTTGGGCATGTGTTTCAAAGGAGGGTATTCCACAACTTCTCTACAAAGCATGTTCCACCGTCACATAGTTCTTACACTTGGTAATTCTTTGCCTTTTGCCTGCTCTCTTATTCAAGACAGACCATAAGATTCCTGGGCAGGGCACGTTTCCAACAGCCACCCAAGATAGCTTACAAAAACTTTCCACTCCTAGACATGATATTCTGTCAGCAGATCATAAAAAGTCTCTCTTGCACAGATAACTGGAATTCTGCTCCTGGTCTGGAAAAAGCTGGTCCCTTTTCCAGTCAGGGTCTCTAGCAGTTTACCATCCCCTAGGATTTCCGCAGTCCTAATTAATATTAAAACCAAGACTATTCAGGCTGGATTGTAATTTTCTTAACCTCCTCAAACAGATCTCTGCCAATATTTTCCCTCAAATTTAATATTAAACTTTTACCCTTGCATGCCTGTGGGTTGCCAATGAAGCTCGCTGATGCTTTAAGACAACCTAACTTGTCTGACTTCCACAAACAGAAAACAGGAGCAGTTTGGGACACCCAACTGGCAGAGGGCAATAGCCACCTGCTTATGAAATGGTATGGCTGTCCTCATTTACAAGCTTTAAGATATGCTCCTGTAGCCCAGACTGATCATTCTGGGTTTGTCTCAGGATCTCACCACTCTGCATGCAGTTGCCCTGCTTGCACCAGAAGTATTGCTTTATGTAAGAGGAACCTACAGCATAAGCTCCTTTTCCAAGACTTGCTCTGTCACCTGCTCAGGGGTCAGAAATCGCTGCCGTCTCCAATACCCTCTGGCTACACGCTGCTACAGCAAATGTGAAACCACAAGCAGTAATAGCTTATCAATCTGTACTGGAGGCATGGCTGGTTGCCAGCTGGAATGGACAAAAGTGAGGACACAGAGAGCCAGAAGCACCACTTAGATTTGTTGGCAAGCTATGACACTTCTACAGAAGGACGCAGGAAGAACAGATTATTTCTCCTATAATACAGGAGAAACCAATTCCATTGAGCTTAAAACCCACCCTAGAAACAGGCTGAATTAGCTCAAGCTGAACTCCATGCCACCACAGTTACACAGTAGGGCTGTGCGAAGCTTCGGGTGCTGATTTGATTCAGAGGAGATTCGGGCCAATTCGGCAGCCAAATCTCCAAATTTAGATCAAATCAGGAGACCAATAAAAAGATCTGAATACATTTGAAGCTCTCCGAATCGATTCAGAAAAGATTCAGAAAGCTGGACCCAGACTCCATGCTGGTAAGCAGGGGGGCTGGAGGAAGAGGGAGGGGACAATGGGGGGAACCTCCGCCAGGCCCCATCTCCTGCCTGCTCCCCCACTGCCTCCTGACCCCTGCCCACTCTCCCAGCCACAGCCCCCCAAAGCCAGCCAAGCCCAGCCCTAGTGTCCTGGCTCTTTAAGAAAAAAAAAGCCCTGCACTTAGTGGCCATTGGGGCTTCTGGGGGCTTGTAGCAGAGACCCCCACACAGTGTGGGGCAGTGGGGGGGTGAGCCTGAGCCTTTTTTTTTTTTTAAAGAGCGGGGAGCTGGGGCCGGGCAGGGGTCGGAGGCTGTCCAATTCGGAGATTTGGCCAATTCAGCAGCAGCCTAATCTCCGAATTAGATTCAGTCAAATTGATTCGGGATAGTGATTTGAATCACCAAATCGAATTACTGTCCCCCGAACTGGCCGAATCCAAAGTAAATACTAGCTGCTTCACACAGGCCTACTACACAACTAGTTTAAAGATAGCTCAGATATGTCAGGACAGATTGCAGTCAAATTAGTGGCTACAGATATTCCCTTACTGTACTCAAATTATTCCACTAATGTTACACTAATTCAAGTGAGTGACCCCAGTGTTAAACAACACTACCTGTCCAGAACACCTGAATTACTTGTTGATAGACTATACTAATTCAAACAGTAGACCTGCTGCATCCCCACTTCATTAATAGCTCAAGTGTTAGCAGCTTCACAAATGAAGATGGACTAGGGAGCTTGAGTTTAAAGTACCTTTTATCTTGAGGTATGGATGTTTTTTTGTGGGGAGAGCTGCGTCGTAGTGGGCAAGAGGAATAGGAGGTCTACAACTTATACTTTGCATCATCACAGCAATGGAACTAAGTCCTGATACTCCTCAAAAATTCTGGTGCATCTATGAACACAGCTAAACCTAGATGTCAGCTTTCCATGTACTTCAAGGCATGTAGTTTTATTATACTGTCATATTATGCATTTCTGTTACTGGGCTATACGATTTATTCTCAACTGTAAGAACTATTTTTATCTGATTTGGGGGAAAAAATTATCTTGGAT